GGGGGGGGGGGCAAAACAGACCTTCAGAGTACCATGCGTTGTCATACTCCTCGTTCTCTTCCAAGGACAGGGTAGCAAAGCTGTGCACCATCTCATGTGTCGACAGCCTGATCAACGACCACTCGCTTTCGTTCTTAGTCGATTCCTCGTACTCAACCACGTAGCTGGCAGAGAAACCCGTTCCGCCAAAACCGAACAGGCTCTTGCGGAAGAACACTCTGTAAGTCTGACCCAAGTCGTCAAAATGCGCGGCCATTTTCGGGTACAGTTCTGCACTGTATTCTACCATGCTCTGCAGATTCGGAAGCAACGGACCAAACCAGTAACTTGTCGAAGGGTACGCATCGTTTGGAACCTCGGGATACGACTGAATTGGACCGACCATGAATACAGTCGAGCTCAGCGTCTGTACAGATCCGATCCGAGTATGTGGTCCCGGACCTTCGCCATAACTCCACACATATCTCGTGTTTGCCGGAGCATCAGCCGGGACACTCCACTCTACCGCGAGCGTATGCTCTGAATCGGACAAGTAGCGTGGTAAGAACCATTCCGGACTACCCATGAGTCCCCCTTGGTCTCGTCGCAGATCAACTCTTGCTCCCAAGGGGGTATGCTTGGTCACGAGACGTGGATGGACTGTGTAGGAGAGTACCAGCTCGCCGACCGTGTCCCGCGATAAACACCAATGCTGTGATTGTTGATCTCCAACAGCCGGGACGTTTTGGAACTCAACTTGCAGAGGGCCTTCTTCATCTTCGGCCTCAATGTCTTCCTCGCTGAGCCCGGGACCGGGGACGTTGACATTGAATAACCAGAAAGAAAATGCGGGTTGATGGGCAGTGATGTTCGGAGAGGCTATGTGTAAGCGGACAGACAATGCAGAGGCGCCTTCATTGTCAAAGTGTGGTGTCAGGTGGAGGCCGATGAGCGAGGGCTGCTGTGTTGCCATGGCTTCAGGTTGCATGGTCTAGTAGGCGTAGCGTCCCCCTCTTCTTTTATATCTTGTCTGCTTCCCGTTGTCGGCCCCGTTACATATATTCACGGCCCTGCGAAGTCGTACTCGGTAGTTCGGGCAGAGTTTGAGCAACTCTGCTGCCTAAATTTTGTATCTCGTGAACTCCGAATTCCGAAGTGAAGTGATGCCGTACATTACATAGAGTAGGAGTGAGGAAGTCTAGATTCTCACACTCTCAAGATGACCCAACGCTGAGGTGAAAGTATGATAACAAGAGACCAACAATCGACATGTCCTGGGTCCAATGAGGTTCCTTGTCGGTGCAGAGGACAGGGAAGTCCCTCGAAGTAGTCTGCCGTCGCCTGCTCAACCTTGTTTCCCGCCAACTGACCTTGATCCCGCGATGGTGTGAAGCAGAGGAAGATGACCTCTGGGCGCAGACAGCGAGACCAAAGTCCGCATATCATCATACTCCTCTAGAAGAGCCAGTCTCACGGCTGATCCAGAAGTCAAGCATGCTCAGTCTATTCCGGAGATTCACTGCCAAAGCAAAAACCTTGCCCTTGCCGCCCTCCGAGCGAGGTAGAAAAGGCCTAGAGTCGGGCCGCCTGATAGATCTGGAGAATGAGATAGCAAAGCTTCCGCGATACCATCCTGAAAGTTGTCCTGATGGCTTGATTGACTTGTCCGGTGCAGAGAACGACTTGATGTTGGAATATATGGTTGACAAGATGGAGGCCTTTGCGAAAAATCGCGAAACTTCAAAATGTTCGTGACTAGCATGTGTCCCTTCTAGATTTATCGTTGATGGTTCTGTAGCAGCAATCAAGTATGGAGGTGTGATGGGATCCAATGGTGGGTCGTATAATCACAATGTACCCGTAACGTGCTACTGATACTCAGAACCAGAACTTCTTATCGCTGTGTCGAGTTTCATCAACAAGCACTTTTGCCCAGTAAAAGGCGTTCGATCGCAGGACATTATCGTGACAAATGGCGTCTCCTCACTCCTGGACCTCGCGATATTCAACATCTGCGACCCAGGAGAAGGCGTCCTGGTCCTGACACCCAATTACGCCATGTTCCCGCACGATGTCTGCATCAGAACAGGTGCCAGGCTCATCAATGTCAATATGACGGACTGGAACCATCAATTTCGTGCCGAATTTGTCCATGATGTGGTCGAAGAACTGGAGAGAACATGCTCAGAGTCGGAAGCAGGTGGTGTGAGAGTAAAGGCATTGCTCATCTCGAATCCGAACAATCCATGTGGAAGATGCTACCCCAAAGCCACGTTGCTCGAACTTGCTCGTTTCTGCGCTCGAAAAGGCCTCCACTTCATCTCGGACGAAATCTATGCAATGTCAACTATTCCATCTTCGGAAGACAGTCTCGATCCTTTTACATCAGTTCTGCAAATTGCAGAGAACTCGAGGGAGAACATACATTGTTTGTATGGTGCAAGTAAAGATTTTGGAGCAGGAGGTCTGCGCTTGGGCTTCATGGTCACTAGGAATGAGCTATTCTGGAAGACCTGCCGGCGACTAGCACTATTCACGTGGGTTACGACGTCTTCAGCGGACTTTTTTGCACACTTCCTCACCGATCATGCGGACGAGTATTTGACCATCTACCGTGATCGACTCCGCAAGCGATACGCTGATATCAGTGCACTGCTTCATGCACAGTCTGTCCCATTCCAAGCGGCAAATGGGGGTATCTTTGTGCTGCTTGATCTCTCAAAGTGGCTACAGTATGTTGACGCCGATGATTCCAAGGAGAGCAGCGAGGCAAAGCTAGGACGCTATCTCGCATACAATGGTGGTGTATATCTCAGCTTCGGAGAGGTAAGTCTGGAACCACAATCCCGATAGTAGGAGACTAACAATTCGACCTCTCCAGCTTTCGCTATCACCTGTTCCGGGGTACTTTCGATTAGTGTATACGTGCGAAGAGTTACCTGTGATGGGCATTGCAATTGCAAGATTGTCCGAGGCGTTGGCACGTTTAGAGACGCGTGTTGATAAATGATGGCGGGAGAAGCAGTTTGATAGGTGAGGTTCGGCTGGTGTAGCACTCGCTGATGTGCTTGACGATTTTCAGCGACAGCGACTTTCTTGCTCTCGGCGCGACAGAATGTTCCGCCTCCACTCTGGCCGTCTCCGCCGGCTCATTCGAGCTCAGCGTGTTGGACGCTGCTCGTAAATACAGCGACTTCTTTGCACTCAGCGCAACAGAATGTTCCGTCTCCACTCTGAAGACAACGATGCCATCGTCGCTGGAGAGGCTGCTCGAAGAGTTTTGTCTACCATCCTTTTCCGCAACCCGCTTCGGATCATGAAGTCCCTTCAGAAATGCCCGCTCTGCTTGCTCAGTGTCCAAATCCTACCTTTTGCTGCCTCGTCGCTGCACTTTTGTCTCTTCCTGGCTCTTTCTGGGTTTCACCAACGTTTCGTCTTCCTTCACACTTTGGAGAGAGCGTCACAAAGCATCTGCTGGCACTTTGTGTTGGTGTGATGGCATCGTTTGCGCGGGAGATCATGGTTTCACGGCGAGGAGCCTCCGCTGGGGTTGCCAGTAGACGAATTCGAGGAATGGTTCGTTAGAGGGCGTCTGCGATCGTGGAAGCCGTCGAAGACACGCAGATCTTGAGACATGAAGGGTTGACATTCTAGCCGACCGAAGAGCTTGTTCTCTAGGTCATCAACGGCCATGTCTGTTTTAATCTGGACTTTGAAAACCATCATATCTGGGGTGCTGGTGCCATCCTTCGGCCTTAGGCTGCACCATTTTGCGCTCACTCGGCGCTGTAATCGGCCAAGCCTCAATATAGGCAGCGACGTGAATCAAGCATCTGACCAAGGCAGTGCACACTGCAGAATATCTCCCCCTCGATCCGGCGGAGATCGCTCCGGTAGCGTTGTACCTTCTGCATCAGAAACTACAGGTACCTTCATCTTCCTAATGGATACGCTGGACGCGGGGCTATCGAATGGCTAAGAGGTGGCTTTGCAGTGCCTCTATACCGTTCTGCGGCACAATCGGCCTATGGACACGCTGCCCTCGGCAAGCATCTTGTGACCATTGGTTGATGCCTGTTCCGGAGCAGATACCTTATCGTTCATATACGCGCCTGTAGGGCAAGTGGTTGTAGCCTCGACTGCGGCACGTTGACGGCGCGATGTCCCTATTGGCAACTTGCGACTCCTTCGAAATACATACAGGTACCTGTACTCCCCATTACCGCGCGCTACACAAGCCTGAAATCAGAGAGTGACTTTAAAATCCTGTAGGATTCTATCACATATGCCAGCTATCTCTGTATCACAGTGCATTGCTTCCGCGTGCCGCAACTCTGCCTGTTCGCTACCTTTCACAAGAGATTATTCGAAATACTGCGCCATTATCTGACGGTATGTCTCAAGCCGTAGGATAGATCGATTGGATCCAGGTGAAGCATCGGGTGTTCGGCTTACCAGGAGTGTGCAGTATGCACTGCGATGAAGGCGGCGCAGTACCTCTTAATGCGCTTGCTCAACACGTAGCGCCGGCTCAACTAGTATGCTGCTCCTATCACACGCGGTAAGGTAGTTCCTGCGCCTGGACTATCGACTCGGAAGGATATAAGTCCTAATAGACCTGCCCGTTTTCTAGTAGCCAACTTGCAACCTATCTACACAGCATAGTCTCCAGACACTCAAATATACACAAGTACTCCTACACATCGCAAGACAAATCGCGACAATGGCCTTCGCTCCACCTATCGAGATCGTCAATGCGGCTACTTGCAAAGGATGCAAATTCTCCAACATGTCCGGAGCTACAATCTGCGAGAAATGCGGAAAGGCTATCGGCAGCCCCTAAGGGGAAACAAACAAATGTTCGTAACCATCTGCCCCTCTTGACACCCGTGTATAGACTAAATGTATTCAAGATTGCTGGTAGTCCACGAAATCTACTCAGCAGACAGGTCAATAGCTGAAATAGCATTTGGCGATATCTGGAGTGCGGCTATTGATATGTGCAGTTTGTAGTGCTTTGTCGATGGGTGTTGAGAGATCTATTCCCTAGACCATATACGGTCTAGATGTCGCTCTTTGGAATATCAGATAGTCAGGTAGCTGCAACAATTCGTTAGACAGCTATTGCTTGGTGATCCATTTGAACAAACTGTCTGTATCCTTGCAGTACTACCTCCTAGGTACTTCTCGAGCGATCTCTCCCTTTACGTTCGAGACTACGGTACATGTACAGGTACCTGTATTAGCTTGTCTGAATTACATGTAGTACCTTAGGTAGCTAAACGATGTACCTGCCCGATTGGTGAAGTACTATTAGTCAGGTAAGTACAGACGGCGCTAGGACGCTCCTAGCTGTTTGTTTCTCGCAGTGGATTGCAAAGCGAACTCGGTGCGCACTTTCTCTTCCTTCATCCACCTGACAACATGGCAGCCCTACCGCCTGTTAGAGAGGCACTGCGTCAAGTGACCAAGCAGTCTTGGATACTAGGCGATAGGATGAGCATATCACGCCAGTTGGAAAGATCACCAGACGTACCCTCCTGGAGCGACGGAAATAGCTGTTTTTTCGAGATTACCAAGGTTGGCATAAATCCGAATCATAGTCTCCTTCGTGTTATACTAATCAGATTGGTTGGAAGCAGAGCAGCGGCGATGTCGCTAGTGATGACACGTATGGTGTTGCCGACTCCCTCCCCTTGGTCCACGATGCCGGCGACATACACGCAGTCTGGAAAATTGGAACTGCCTTCTTGAAAGTCATGGTTCCTCTATCTACGGCAATAACACGCGAGCATGTAACACTACAAGCGCTACAAGATCGAGATGTTTCATTCGCAGTGCCCTCTGTTCTTTTCTACGGCGAATGGGATGGACGGTACTATTTGATTGTAAGCCAGGTTCCTGGTATTACTCTCGCAGATGCATGGCCATTAATGGATGAGACTGGTCGCAACAAATGTGTTTCTCAAGTGGTCCGAATCTGCAAAGAGGTCGCGATGACTTTCGACGGCAGCGAGAATTCGTGTATTGCCGGCATCGATGGCGGCTACCTGCCAGAGTATTTCTTAGGAAAACGGTCTGGAAAAGACTGGGACTTCGCACCCGCGCTTCTTCAACAGTACTGCCTTGACATGAAGATGGACTGTACTACCTTGGTATTCTACCACTGCGACCTCAGCCCTGGCAATGTGATGGTGCATATGAAAGAGGCCGGCGAGCCGGCAGTAGGAATAATCGACTGGGAATGTGCAGGTTTCGTACCAAAGGATTGGGTACGCACAAAGTACCTTGTATGCGGTTCCATGGACTTTGAACTTCCAGAAGGCAGTACTAGGGAGGCCAGACGCGAGTGGAGGGATCGAATGGAAAGGTGTCTTCAAGAGGAGGGTTTCAAAGATATGTCAGAGAGCTGGCGCGCTTGGTTCGCTACTGGTTGCTCGCGTTACCAGGTGATTTCCTGGCTAGAGTAGAACCATCTCCTTTTAATACCTGTATCGGGCTTACTACTCTCGTATGCACAATGTCCTCTGCTCCGTCGCTGTCTTCTAGTCTCGTATCCTGTATCCTCCTCGCGCGTCTTGTGCTTGATTATATCGCCCGTCTCGTATCCTTCATCTTCGTCGCGCGTCTCGTATACTTAGTCGAGAGACCCTTAGTATTAGAACTATATACTATACTAGTGCCTAAAGAGGAGGTATTTTATAGTAATTAGTATTAAGTTAATATTAAAGGTCTAAGTTATTAAGAAGAGAAAAGAGAAGAGTAGGTATTTCTAAGTTCTTACTATTCTTCTTCTTACCTAGGCCTCGTTATAGGTTGGGTTGGGTATAGGTTGGGTACAACCCAACGTTAATACCCAACCCCGCAAATAAGGTAGGTACCCAGCTTATAAGCTAGGTACAACCTAACGGAAAAAACCCAATAGGTATACCTAATAGGTATTGCGATAGGTATTACGTAAAACCTCTTCTAGATATAGAATAAACATAGTAAGCGCTTCTAGAACAGTAATAAGCCTCGTATATACCGTACTGCCTGAACTCGCTAACAATAGCTACCGACTATGCCTGCCGACTACGAGAATTAGGAAAAAGCAAATTAATTTAGGAGTTTACGGTAAGTACTTCGACATCTCCTTCTATAGCTAATAATACCTGCCGACTATACCTGCCGACTACGAAAATTAGAAAAACCAAATCACTTCAGATCTTAGGCTTATAGTAAATGCTTTAACATCTCCTTCTCTAGCCTAGCTAGAACGCGCATCTAGTATTTAAACCGACTTTCGGTTACTATATGCTGCTGCCTTACTCTCTAGGCCTTACGCATCTCTATTCTTCGCTAGGCCGCTTAGAAAGCCGGCTCCGTCCTTATTAATAATAGGGTCCTTAAACAAGTAGCTCTAAGGATAAAGCGAGCTGAAATTTCTGTCTCTAGTCTGTCTCGTTCGGTGATAGGCTCTTCTATAAGTATACTTAGTATCTTGTCGATACTTCCCCTAGCTACGAATTCTTACGTACCCCGATTATTCGCTTGATCTATAGCTACCGTATACGCTGCCCTTGCTATATCCTCTAATTCTGTTATCTCCTCGTCAAACTCCTACTGCGACTCCTCTTCTTTATCCTCTCTCTCTATATCTAGTCGACTCTCCTAGAGAGAATTAGGACCCGTCTCCTCCAAATCTAGATAATCGAAAGGATTGTAGTCTTAGCTAAGCGAGATATCTTGATCCTAGGTACCTATATCCTCGTCGCTATACTGAAAATCTGCTTGACTAGGCCTCGTTATAGGTTGGGTTAGGTATAGGTTAGGTACAACCCAACTTAAATACCTAACCCTACAAATAAGCTAGGTACCTAGCTTATAAGCGGGGTATAACCTAACGGTAAAAACCTAGTAGGTATACCTAATAGGTATTGCAATAGGTATTACATAATACGAGTTAAATACCTACAAAATAGTAGAAAGAAATAATTAATAAGGGATATATACCTACT